TTCATCCAAGGTTTGTTCTGGTGTTTGGGTCTGTTTTAATCTCCCTGTCTCATTATCAGAGTCCTGCTGCCCTCTCTGTACTTGGGTTGCAATGCCTGCTCCCACTCCAGAGGCCTAAAGTAAACATGCTGCTACTTTGGTTCAAGTGGTGTCTTGAGTTTTATTTGGAGGTGATTCTAACCCAGCGCAGCCCTCTGTGTTTATTTGTGTTAAAGTGGTGTCCGGATACTGACCTGAAGGCTCGGTGTGCTTAAGCATTTCATGTACAATAGTGTCTGTCTCATAAAGAAAACACTAATAAAGAAAATAAATCCAAGGATCACAGGGTGCTCTGCCCCATGGCCCAGTTGCAATGACCCTGCCAGGGGCTGCAAGCTCACTGTGTAGTGCAAATAAGGAGTCACCTGCTTACGCTGGTACTTGTGTTATCTGCCAGGGTGAGCGAAACTTCTCCTGGCCCCTGGAGTGGGGCTGCTGCTCCAGGTGTGGAGCCAGTCCCAGCCAGGGCACAGGAGCCTCACCTGCAGCCGATGGGGTTTGCACAGCTCCAGGGCTGCTGAAGGGTTTTGGTGCAGATGAGAGTCCGTGTCCCGTGGTGTTCATGGGGGCTCTGCTACAGAAGGAAATGGGTTTGGGAGTTTTTTTCCTGTGCTGTTGGAATTGCAGCTGGTGGTCCTTTCAGTTCTGGAAAGCTGGTCCTAGAAAGAGACTACTGAGCTTTCTTAAAGTAGCTAATTAATTATGCATTTAAGCTTGTCTGAGTGAGACACTGGCCAGCCGGGCTGTAATAGGATTGTTCCGGCTCATTTTAATTGGGCTGATCTGGCTTGAGTGGATGCTTCAATGTGGGGCAGTGTTTGGGAGCAGACTACTCTGGGAAACCTGCAGCCAAACCAACCCCTTCCCAGAGTCACCCAGGATGGATCAGGCTGGAAGGGCCCACAGTGGGGCATCTGGTCCCACCTCCCAGCCTCCAGCAGGGCCATCCCAGAGCACATGGCACAGGAGTGTGTCCAGAAGAGGGTTCTGGAATATCTCCAGTGAGGGAGACTCCACACCCTCTCTGGGCAATCTGTTCCAGTGCTTGGTCAGCACAGCAAAGAAGTTCTTCTTCATGTCCAGGTGGAACTTCCTGGGCATCAGTTCCTACCCGTTCCTCCTGTGCCATTGCTGAGCCCCCCGAGCAGAGCCTGGTCTGTCCTCTGCCCCCTCCCTGCAGCCCCTGACACACCCTGGGGAGGGCCCCTCTCAGTGTCTGCTCTGGAGGCTGAACAGCCCCAGCTCCCTCAGCCTTTCCTGCTCCCAGAGATGCTCCATCCCTTCAGCATCTCTGCAGCCTGCGCTGGCCCCACTCCAGGAGCTCCTTCTTGTCCTGAGCAGCCCAGAGCTGAGCCCAGCCCTGCAGATCCCTCCCTGACCTGCTGGGAATGTCCTTCCCAATGCACCCCAGGATCCTCCTGGTCCCCACAGCTGCTTGGTGTTGCTGTCTGACCCTGTGACTGTGTGAACCCACCAGCAGCTCTGAGTGATCCAGGTGGCAAAGAACATTCCTGATGCTCATCCTCACTAGTCCCTGCTGCCCGTGCTGTGGTTCTGGATGTCTTTGTGCTGTGGATATGGTGGCCTTGGCACTGGGGGTGACCCACATTGGGGGTAATGATAATAGTCTTCCATAAATATTTGAAGTCAGGAGTTACTCATGCATACCTTATTCAATTTGATTTATTTATCTGAGCCAGTGTTGAGAGCAGAGGAGTTGAACACTCGGAAGGGCAGGGGAAGCCCTGCCTCCAGACTGCTTGTGTGCATTCAGCACAGAGCTCCTGAGTCAGTGGTGTGCAATTGTGTCAGGAGTTTATTTGGATTTCTTCCTAGGGCTTTCGCTCAGGATGTTTCCTTTTAACAAAGAATTAGTAGGGTTTTAGTTTGTTAAACATCCCTTATGTAACCTCCAAAGTATATTTTAAGCAACAGTTTGCTTTTTTTTCCCTTTTTTTTTTTTTTTTACAGAAGTTGTCTATGCAGAAATAGCAGGATGTGTCTTTGATGGGTGGTTGTTGCTCTGTTTTGCACCTCTTGTGGCTTTATGGAATTGCTGTTGCTCTCCCTTCCTTGACTGTGGGAATTCCCTTTGGAAACCATTTAGATGCTGGGGGAATTTGGGCTGTGCTTTGTTGGGCCTGAGAGAAGGTTGTCCTTCCATTGATTGAATTTATTCTCTGTAGGCAAGGAGATCAGGACTAACCCCTCGTTAAAGCAAGGAGAGTTGGTGTGAGCATCTCACTGGCAGGACTAGCTCTCAGCTTCTTCCCTGGGAAAGCAGCTTGGCTCTGTGGCTGCTGCCTGAGGGAGGGTCCAAAAATCTCCTCCTGCTGCTTAAACAGTATATAAAAATACAGTAAACTGGTATTTCCTCCTTTGGGGTTTAGATCAAGCTTTAGATATAATGGTGACACAAACTGGGGAGGAAAAAATAATGAATAAATAAATATGTAAAAGCTCCCAAAAAACCCGCTACCTCTGAATGCTTCACTGCAAAAGTATTTGACTTTACTGGCTTTTTTCAAGCCTTGGCTTCTGAGCACCTTTCAAATCAGATGTATTGCTGAAACCAGTTTGCAATAATTGTAGTGTTGCTACCAAATTTGCTGTGTGTGAGAGGGAATCCCTTTTTTTTTTTTTTTTTTTTTCCCCCCACTGCAAATGAATTGCTGTCAGGTCAGTTCTCCTTTTTATAGAAGAAGGTTTGCTTCAAAAGACTAAAAGTATGAATTCTCCATCTGATATTTGACTTGAATGGGTAGCACTGCTAAAAAATTAATGGAGTGGAATAGCCTGGATGATGATTTCTCCTCTGATGTGAAGAAATTCGATGATGTTCTTTCCTTTTTAATTGCCTGGCCTGCTTTCTTCTTAACTATCCGTATATGCATCTCGTTTTTTTTGTTTTTTTTTTCATTTTTTCCTGTGCATCCAATTCCCTGGGATCCTGGTACTGGTTGGCAGGTTGGCAATTTACTCTGGCACTGCTCGTGGAGCTGTGACTGGGGCAGCTGCTGACGCGCCTAATGCGGCTCTGCACGTTTGATGTTTATGCTGATAACCCCGGGCGGCTTGGGATGCTTCAGCTGTACAGAAATGGAGCTGAAATAAAAAGTTTTCATACTTGAAGACAGTTTCCTGCACTGGGGGTAGCTGTGGTTTGCAGTGGTGACCTTTGGCTGCCACGCCACGGCCAGCTGCGTTGGCTTTGCTGCTGGTCCTGGTGGGAAGGGGCAGCAGAGCCGTGCTGGGTGTCCAAAGCTATCCAGAGCAACCCTGGGTACCTCTGGGACAGGTGGCAGGGGCTGGACTGGCCACTGGTTCCCAGCCACTCCCTGGGTGCCCTGGCAGTGAGGGGTGGAGAGGTGGTGCCAGACTGGGAAGGGGAGAAGGGGCAGCCCCTCTGCCTTCATGAGCTCACCCGCTCGTCTCCGTTCACGTGCACATGCAGATTTTTCCAGGGAGAAATGAGGACAGGGCAGAGACAGATTTTACTCTGGAACAGTGTTTTATGTCACTTTGCAGCAGTGTTTAATTCCCGTGGGCAAAACCAAGTGGTGAATACCTTGTAGATTGCAAGGAAGCGTTAATTACTGTGCAATCTTCTTCTCCTTGGCTCGACTCGTGCCATTTTAAAAGCCAAGCTATGGCATTTTCCATAGCTGGATTTGTTTGTGTGGGAAGTCAGAGTTACATAATTAAAACAAATCCTATTCTACAGTTCTATGTTTTCCAGCAAAATGTTTTGCCTCAAATAAGTACTGTCTGTAGCTGGGTAAAAATGAGGAGTGTCTTTGTTGAAGTTGTTTTTCTCTCTTGAAATGTTGTTCATATACTCTCCCTAATTGGCATTTTCAAATATTATTCTTTGTGATTGTTTTGTGGTCATTGTCTGCTATGGTTTGAAAAAGCTCATTAGGAAGAAAAGCCCTTGATGGCCAGCTGAGGAGTGGTATTTATGATGTGTGATGTGTGCTGGGTTCGGTGGGGGTGGTTTGCAGAAGGTGTCTGTGCTGCTCCAGGTCCTGCCCTTAACAAAAATGGTCCTGCTGAGGAAATTGCTGTTTTCCTGTCTGCCGTGCTCGAGGGTCTGTGTGTGCTGCTGGATAGTGGGGCATTGCTACCACAGCTCTTGGGAGACAGGCTGGGGTCTGCGTTTGTGCCATGTGGGCACCTGGGATGTGGCTGCAACTCTTGAGGTCTTCAGGGAGAGGTCTGAACATAAATCATAGCAGAGCTGCCTTTGGAGGGGCCTTTTGCTCCCCTCAGCGTGGCAGGGATGTTGAAATGCAGTATGCGGTGTGAGGGGCACCTCAGCTTGCTTCTCATATGGGTCTTCTTATTTCATAGCACCTTGATGCTGCCATCACATACATGCCATCATTTCCAACATAGGTTGGAAAAGACCTCTGGGATCAAATCCAACCTGTGACCCATCACCACCTTGTCAACTAGGCCAGAGCACTGAGTGCCACATCCAGTCGTTCCTTGGACACCTCCAGAGGTGGAGACTCCCCCACCTCCCTGGGCAGCTCCTTCCAATGTTTAACAACCTTTTCCATGGAGAAATTCCTCCTGATGTCCAACCTGAACCTCCCCTTGGGTATGACCCTGAAATACCAACTGTGCTTTCGGCATCTGCTTGACTCTTATGGTGTGTAAATAAAGGCCTTGGGTAGACAGGTAAAGCCGAGCACATGCCTGGGCCTCTGGGGGACTGAAACCAGCAGCAGCAGCATGGAAAAGTGGAAAAGCCTGAACTGAAAGGGAAAGCATCAGTTTCTAAAGGACATATTGCAAGGAACAAACCGTGGGGTTTCAAAACTGGCTGTTCCACAGCGGCTGCGTTTCTTGTGGCGCCCAGTTCCGTACCTCTGCCCGTGTGTCTGCAGGCGCTCTGGAAGTGCCAGCCTCGGAGCTGTGTGGAGCAGCTCCCCGTCAGGAACTGACCCGGGGCGCTGTGGAGCCGAAGGCAGGAGTTCTGACAGCCTGTGAGACACGGATCCCTAATTGAGGCCTCGCATCCTTTGTGCGTCAGCGGCAGAAGGGGAATTACCAGTTGGTTGGATTCACAGAGACAGCGGGTTCGTGGCGATGGGTGAGCGGGGAAGGGAGACCAGACGGAGCAGTTCTTCTTGTTCCTGCTATCCACATTCTCCATCTCTTCAGAGCCTGCTTTCTCAGCAACAAAACATGCCTGTGCTGTTCCTTGGCTTGGTGGGGTTTGTCTTGCCAAGTGAAGGGCTGATCCTGAAAGGCTCCTGAGGGGTGCTGTGAGGAGCCTCCCCCTGTTCCCTCTGTCAGGAAAACTTGTGCATGCTGTTAGCACAGCCTTCCCTGACTTCACTTGGGGGGAATCTGGTCCTGAAACTTCCCTGTAATTGGTGTGTTGTTATTTTTGGCTGCGTGGAAACCAGAAAGGTCACTTATGTGAACCTTTTCTTCTTTGAATTTCAACATGGCCATTAGCCTTCCTGCAATCTGCCTGCCTGGCTGAGCATGGGAATGTCTGGGACACATCTGTTTCCTGGTCTCCTTGAGTAATTGTGTACAGACCATCTCCTTGCCATCTTCTTACCCTAAAAATCCCTTGGCAACTGGGCAAACCAGTAGCTGAATATAAGGGAAAAAGATGGTGTTACTCCTGTATTTGATTCTGATACTGAGTGCATCCATGGGCTATCAGGGATGGGAGAGAGTTGCCTTTGAAACTTGTCGTGGAATCATCCCTGTCATTGATTCTGATGCTCCTTTCTCATTGAAATAAGAAGCAAAGTAACTTTTCACAGTCTTTCCCTTCTGAGTTAAGGAGAAAACGTCCGTGGCTGTGGTATTTGTTACAGCAGAGCCCTGCTGTGCCTGTATGGCTGAATTCCTTGGTGGTGTTGATCCTCAGCCTGCTCATCCCATCTCCCTCCCGGCCCCTCGAGTGAATTATGCCTCGTGTTCAGCGCAGGGCCATCTGTTTTCCTGTATGTTCTCTCCTCTCTGGCAGCCTGATTCGAATGGAAAGGTGAGGCTAAATACACGTGAGGAGGAGCAGCTCTTTTGTTCTCCCAGCAGCTTGTTTTCCAGCGGAGGAGCCAGGCAACAGAAGGAATGCTGGGTCTTTAGCTGTCCTCAAAATGTGCTCCTAGTGCAAGAGTCCAGGGGATTATTAACAGCAGAGTTGAGGGGGAACCTGAGTTTTGGGGTTAATTTGGCACCTCTGACTTAAAGGTCTCTTGTGACTGGGCCTGAGCAGCTTTTTGAAGATGCTGTAATCTGTGTTTTGACCTAGTACAGATTTCACTGTGTGACTCCACAACACTGCCAGATAGTCCCCACCCCCCGTGTCCTCCTGATCCATGCAGAGCTATTGCTGCTATCCAGGTTTTCCTGTGCCATCTCCTTTTGCTCTGTAAATGGTAATTTAATTTCCACATTTAGAGACCTTAATTAATTATGAATAAAATCATTTGTATGAATTTTAGAGCTGAAGGGTGACGGATTAATGGCTCTTTGGGAATGTGAGGCAGCTTTACAAGAAGGGATTCAGCACAGGAGTGGCTGTGTCAGCTCTGCCCTGTGTGCATCCCTGTGATGTGGGATGGGAGGAGAAGGAGGAGGGCTTCCATCCCCTGGCATCCTGGGGAGGCTGGCATGAGGAAGAGAACAGGGAAAGTGTTAGCCTGGTGCTTGTTTCTCTAGAGCTGAGTAGGTTGAGGCTCCCCTTGATGGTTTAATATGTCTGATGATGTAAGAATTTGGCTCCAAATGCGTGTTGTCATTTTTTATGCATGGTCAGCTTTTGTTCCTGTCCAGTGGAGTGGAGCACTGTGCAGTCCAGTGCTGGGTGTCTTTCTATGCCTTTTTATCATTTTTTTCTTTCTTCAGGGATCATGGAGTTCATTGAAACTTTTAGGCTTGTCCTCAGGTCTCTGCAGTGGCCAGACCTGCAGTGACCTCAGCAGTCACCTCTGCTTTTGGCGTGAGGCCGATTGCCCGATGCCTGCAGGCATCAAACATTTAACAGCTGCAACATCTGTTGGGTGCTACTCATGGCTCTTTTCCTCCAAGAAGTGTTTTGAATTTTGAAGCTCTTCAGAGTTCCTTTTTTCTTTTGTTATCCTTCTGTAGAGGCCAGTGGGCCCAAAATTACTTCTGCTGTCCGTCTCCTGACGCAGCATCGCCTGTTTGATGTCTCTGTGCACACACATTGCACTGTCCTTCTGCTCTGACCACGGATCCTTCTGATTCTTGGGGAAGGCAGAGAACAGAGCCGAGTCCAGGTTTTGTACTCCAGGCGCTTCTCGGACCAAAAGGGGTTTGTTTTCTTTTCCTGGAAGCTTTGCTTGCAGAAGGGAACACTGAGCAATCCAGCTCCCAGCAGTTTTGTTTGGCAGAGTTTCCTACTCTGCGTTGTCTCTCGCTCTTCCTCTGCAGAGCCGGTGGAAACGTCGTTGTTAATCCCAGCAGCTTTCCCGAAGCCCCTGGTTTTGCGTTCCTGGCTCGTCCCCTTCCCCTGTGCTGCGGGTGTTTGTCTCCGGCCCGAATCCTGCGGGACGGTGCCTTGGCTTGGGATGCAGGTCGGGAGTTGCGCAAGGCCCGTCCGTCTGGAGGGCAGATTGCCATCAGCCATCTCCAGGACTTTTTCATGGAACAATACTTAACTCCAGGGGTCAGCTGGAGGTGATGGGATCGTGTTGCCTGTGGTGACTGACAGGGCAGGGATAGAACTTTGGGCTGCACAACTTGGTTTGGTCTCAGCACGTGGGACAAACCCACTTGGCTGCGGCAGCAGCAGTGAAGGCAAGATGGGTGAAGGTTTTCACTCCTTCAGAACAAACTACCAAAAACCAGTCCAAACAGAAGTGGTCAAATTACTCAGGGGGCCCCCTGGTTTTGTATGACTTCTTCATGCTTAATCATTTCTCTTCCAAGCTAATAATTTCAGAGCAGCCTCTTGATCCTTACGTCTCTCTGCATTTTGTTTGCACGTGGTGTCCCTGGCAATCATCTGGTTGTCCAAATCTTCCTCTCCCTCTTTACAAAATATAGCCTACGTTTTGCTTTAAGCCATACCTGGTACTCTTAAAACATTGGTGGTGTAGCCTGGCCTGACTTTGAGGAGATTCCTGACAGGAAAAGAGAGGCACAAGCTGAAGTCTTTGTCTGGGTGTTTTTACCCCAGTACTTCGTAGAATCAGGCAATTCCAGAATGATTTGTTTGAAGGGACCTTAAAGCTCATCCAGTTCCAACTCCCTGCCATGGGCAGGGACACCTTCCATTAGACCAAGCCCTGTCCAACCTGGCCTCAAACAAGTTAGGCTTTACTCAAAGTTTTCTTGAAGGTTTAGAGGAAAACCAAAAGAAAGGGAGATGTGTTTGCATCAATATATTGACCTGATAACAGTTCTGAAAACAAGAAAGCATGGGAACTTCAGCTACTGGAGTTCCCACTCTGGCACAAGGCCACAGCCTCCTACTGAAGTGCTCAGCTGCTTTGGGAACCTGATCACAAATGTCTAATTTACACTGGTTGCACCAGTAACTACAGCTGGGACTGTAACCCATACCACTAGGTCATATTTAAAAGAAGAAAAGGCAGGAAAAGCAGAACTTTGGAGTTTTCCTGCCAGTCTGTTCCTCGTGAATCCTGCAGCAATTGATGTGACTGCTCAGTCTTGCTTCTGTGTAACTGTAGCAATTTAACAAGTGGTTTCTATAGGATGAAAATCAAGTTTCTTTGGCTAAAAACAACATACTACAGTGGCTGTTAATGGGATGGTGATGCAGGAGTGAAATAGCAAGAGAAGGAAACATTTGTCTAAGATTTATATAGGGAGTGCTGCCCTTATTTTTTGCAGTGTTTTCAAAACAAAAAGAGAGGGGGAAAGTAGAGATAAATGGCACAGGGAGGACTGTGAATGCTGCCCTGTGTCCCCACGCAAGTTTGCCAGAAGGATAAAAGTCCTGGAGTTCTGAGGTCCCTTCCCACAAATCCAAAGGATCCTGGTGGGCAGGAGAGCCCCAGCCTGTTTAAGGGAGCAGCAGAAGGAATTTGGCTGCTCCAAGTGCTGCTTGCCAGGCCCACAGTTCACAGCGAAACATGGGCTTGGATAATTTCTACCCTCTACTTGATTAAGTCTCCCTGATTATTTTTAACCTACAAAATCCCTGCCCTCCCAGCTGGGAGAGGATATTCCCATTAGCTCTGGGAGAGCAGCCTGGTTTTCCCCGGGAGATGTGTGAGCTGTGGGGCTGCTCTGAGGGGGTTTCAAGGTGGCACTGGGTGTTACTGCACTTTGGGTAGAGGTCTCGGTGAGTCTCGCTCACTTCCTACCTCGTATCTATCCACAATAATCTCAATCCTCACTTCGTTGACTTTTGACCACTTCTTAACCAGAGTTTAAAAAGTATCTGGAGCAAAAACGGGTCGCTTAGCAACGTGCTGGAGCTGAGGGCGACCAGAGAATGGGTCAGTGATTAACAATTATGTATAATCAAGGTTAAAAATGCAGGGCAGTCTGAGCGTCCCTACTCTGACAGCCAGAATATTTCAGTGTTACCATGCTGGGATTTATGGTGGTGGTAAGTAAATTTATACCAGCTGTAGTCTTGACCTCATGAACGTGATGATTCGAGACTTGAACCCAGACTGAAGTCTCTTTTCTTTACTGGTGTATCACAAAAAACATGAAGTAACTTTTGGGTGTGTAACACAGGCATGGTCTACGTTTGGCATGTATTATTTTCCCCAAGGCTCAGGGCCTTCCCCGTGCCGTGTGACTTCCCAAACAAACAGAAATAGATCTGCACAGGAGAGTGGAAAATGCAGTCTTGCTATAGAGCAGAAATGTGGAAGGAGTATGGGTTCTGGTTTTGGTCACTGTGTGAATGTTGGTGCACTGTTCCTCCAAGCAGGGAAACAACCAATTCCACGTGAGCTCGATGAGTATATTTTTCTGAGCCTTATTTTGGCAACATGATCATTTTCCTAAGTCCTTGGTGGTGCTTTGGTTTCTGGATGAAGAGATCCTTGGCAG